TCTAGGTTCAGGGATTATATGCCTGAAATTTAAAAAATCTCAGACAAGTTTTTAAAGCTCATTAGATATGCAGCTAGTTCTCTGCTTATGGTGGAATTACCCTTATAAATCCATTGTAATTGGAAAGTATATTTACTACACCAAAGTCAACCACAGAGTACACTGAAGATCCCTGTAATCTTGTGTCTACCTGGAACCTACAGCTTGTTACAGCTGCCTGTTATCACAAGATAGTTTACTACATTTTTTGTAGCCTGATAAAATACTAGATTGAAGTATGGTTTCTTCTAAATACATGTTGCTTTTGAGCTGTTCTAAAGCTTAGAGCTGTTAACCACCCAAGATCAGACTGTTGGTATTGTAAGTAACTGATGGGCAGGTTTTTTTTTTCCTTTGTAAATTCATTAGCTCTTCCCTTAGTTTTGCTCATAGTGTTTTTGTTTTGTTTTGTCTTAATCTTTTTTATCTTTATAGGTTTTTGTTTGTTTGCTTCTTATAACTGTACTTTTAAGTAAAGGTGACAATTCAGAAATCAGATATTTACCTTGTTCTTTGTTTATGTATTAGTGTTGCTTGCCATTTTTAATCCTTGCTTTTGTGAATTTTCAGAAGCAATACTATATTCTGGCCACTGAAATCTTTACTCAGGATACTAGTCAGCTAATAATTTGTCTGAGATTGTCTTTAAATGCCTGGAACAGTAAATCTTTCCTTTTTGCTTTGTGGTTCTCTTTGGAACATACTTTCACTACTAAGCAGGAACTTTACAACTTCTTTGTTTCCTGCTTGGGCATAGTTTCAAGGTCAGAGGTGAAACTTGAGCTGTGTTTTAGTCTTTCCTCTATATAACCCTTTGCACACATGGATGGCCAAGCCCTTATGGATACTGAATTCTCAAGGTTTTCATTTGTTCAGCCTGTCGTTAGTTCTACCTCTTCTTATCTTCTCTACAGTTCCACATAGTTAAAACTTGTCAGTAGTAGTTTTCTGTACTCTATTACCTCTTACTCAAGCATGTGGAAACTGTGGGGAAGAGATCCTTCAGCTAACAACAGCAGTCAGACAAACACCATGCAGACCAGATAGTGACTAGTCTTTATGAGATGAAGCAGGAACAGCTCTAGCTGAGCTGCTCTGATAGTGTGGATTATAAGTAAAACCTTCAGAAATCTTTTTTTCTTAGTCAAATTTGTCCTTAAGTGAATCCTCTCTGGGTGTTGCAGTAATTTGGTAAAATTTTCAAGATCTCAAATGTATTGCTTAAAGGCAGGACCATAGTTTTAGAAATATGTCTTTAGGAACTTTATCTTTGTATGAATATTATAGAATATATTTATGTAAGCCTAGATAGTAAAGCTAGGAACCCTATCTCATCTCTTGATGCAATCCAATCCATATGGTAAATGACATGGTGAAGTTGCTTTGATGTAACAGGGCATGTAATTTACAATAATTTTTTTTAGTGTGTGGGAATAATATGTTTTGGCATACTGTAATGCTGGAGCAAGTAGCTGTTTTATTGTCAGTAAATATTATGTACCCTACATAATGGTATATCTTATATTCTTATACAATGGGCAGCACGGCCCTATTTAACACTAACATACCACAAATACACAAATAATGCATCATGCTTCAGTGTTACAAAGGCTGTAATGTTGCATGGGATGAAATGTTTTTTTCGGCTTCATTGTAATCTTATGGCAGGATCCACCATTATATGTCATCTTTAACAGATAAAATATCATTATGGAATATGTAACTAGTTCTTACTCTTGTATCCAGGTAGAATGAAATAGTTGATTTTGAGCCAAATACGAATGTTCAGATTGCCATGAGCATATTCAATGGTGCAGGAGTGTAAATGAATTTTTATAGCTATAGAGCAGAAGGAAGCCAAAAATCAATGCATCTACCCAATTTATTGGTAGATGAACATCAGTTAAGTGGGAATTCTCTTCATAGATTTTAGATGCTACCATATTATTCTTAGCTTTAGGGCTAGTGGAAGCGGATAGTTTACTTAAAATAGTATATCCTAAAAGTTCTGCTTAATAGTTGCAACCATGTGAGGTCTAATGCAGGGATTGGTAATAAATAACTACAAAAGGGCAATAAAAATAGCCTAGAATAATTTTGTCTGTCAATTTGTAACATTCTGTCTCTACAATTATGTTTTAATCACTCTCCTAAATGTTCAACACAAATGTGGCCATGTTACTGATCTAAGTTGATAGTAGAACCACTTTTATTTTTAATTAGTTTTGTTGTTGCTTTTATGGAGTTACAGGTTTATTTGAAGGGCCTTTACTCTGCCACTTTAGACTACTTTTAACAAAATTTTTTCTTGAATGGATGCTTAACATGGTTGTCCCCTGAGAGGTGTCATCCAGCAACTGACTCAGAAGGATACAGAGACCCACAGCCAAAGAGTGGATGGAGCTTGGGGACTCATTACGCAAGAGTTTGGGGAAGGATTGTGGGCCCGAAGGGGATGAGATCTCTACAGGAAGACCAACAAAGTCAACTAACCTGGACCCTTGTGGGGGTCTCAGAGACTGAACTGCCAACCAAATAGCATATACTGGCTGGATCTGCTCATATGTAGCGGATGTGTTGTTTAGTCATGGGTATCAAACAATTGGAGCCAGAGCTATCCCAAAAGCTATTGCTTGTATGTGAGATATGTTCTTCTAGCTGGGCTACCTTGTCTGGTCTCAGTGACAGAGGATGCGCCTAGCCTTGCAGAGCCTTGATGTGCCAGGGTTGGGGGGTACTCAAGGGCCCCCCACCCTCTCAAAGGCGAGGGGGAAGCGGAATGATTTTTAGAAGGGTGGACAGGAGGGAGGAACAATGAGCAGGATGTAAAGTAAATAAATGAAAAACAAAACAAAAAAATTATCCATTTTTCAAAGTAATTTTCCACTGGAGTTCTACTTTAGCCAGGTTTTTTGTTTTGTTTGTTTGTTTTTCTGGTTTTGACTGGTGCTATATCCATAATTTTTTCGTGGGGATACATTTCCTGTTGATAAGTGAGAATAAGACTTGAAACCTCTAATATTAATTTTTTATATACATCTTGGAAATGTATTCTTTTTTTGTGTCTAGATTTTGAAAGATGTTCCCATTCTTGTTTATCTTCTGATGTGTTTTGATCCTTTTGTTTCAGGTCTTCTGGTTGTCATCATCATGGTCTAGTTTGTACTTTGGTTGAGAGATATTTAGGTTGTTTCCAGTTTCTGGCTGTTATGAATAAAGCTGCCACTAACATAGTTGAGCAAGTGTCCTGTGGGATGGTGGAGTATCTTTTGGGTATATGCCCTTCGTAGATTCTTTTGCTGGTCTCCTATCTCCCTGCTCCTCTCAAATGATCCTCTTTTAGGCCAGTTTTTTAAAACTGGGTTTCAGTACTTTGTAATTTTTTTCTATTTATAAATTGGCCAACTCCCTGTCTTTTGGTTTCTTTATTTGTTCAAGAGGCTAAAACTGCTTCAAATAGCCTTCCCTTGTCTTTTCTGTTGTGTTTGCCTAAAGACCCATTAAGCAGTGTCTGAGACCAGAGGCTCTTTCAGCAGTAATCCTCTGTTATTGTGAAGGTACACTGTTGATGGAGTTATAAATATGAAGGGAAAAGAGGCTTATTAGTTAGTTAATACCAAGGTTTAAGGGACCCTCAGTTGAATATTTTTCCATCTGTTACTGAAAACTAGAGGGGCCTATGTGGAATATTTTTTCCTCCTCTAGATCTGTTAAGCCTTGATAAAATTATGATTTGGAGAAAATAGTTTTTTTTTAATGGTAGGACTTGTGGAAGGCATACTCAGCAATAATTTGGGTTGCTTCTTTTCGGTTATGAGGATAGGAGTAGTAACTTCAAGTTCTTTTACATTTTGGAGCAGAAGCCAAACTTCTAATCATTTTTTCTAGAGCTCTAATATATAAACTTTTTTATTTTAAATTTTGTGCCTTTTCCTATTCAATATTCAGCATTTTGAGATCTGTTTATCCTTTTTGGATAATTTTCCTGAATCAGTATTCCTTGTTTACTGGGTTTTCTTTTCAGTATGTCTAATCTACTGCCTACCTCATTTGTCGGAAGTTTTCTTAACAACTGTGAAACTCTCATGTCTAGACCTTTGAGTTTTGCTTTTCTGGATCTGAATGCTAGATAATTGTTGCATGTTTACATCAATCAATTTTTTCTTCATTCATTAAGAAATATACTTATAACAATTTGTTATAGATATCTGGTTATTTGATATACCTTTTTTCTTAAAACTCCAGATATTTTTGACCACTGTTATAACAAACTTTTTCACATTTTTGCTATGTTGGCGACAAATTTTCTTCTCACTTGACATATTTGCATTCTACTCATATACAATGTTAATACAAATTTTCCCAGAAGATTTCTTCCCTATGCAAAACAATTTTTTAAAAATTTTACTTTTATCTATTTGTGTGGGAGGTAGGCACATGTTTTAGTCACAGGACAAAAATATAGTTGTTGATTCTCCTGCCATGTGGTTCCTGGCAATAAAACTCAGGTCATCAGGTTTGGCACCAAACAACTTTATTCTCAGTTGTCTCTCTGGCCTGAGACCTCTTTTTTTTAATGTGATGTCACTCATTCCTTCATAAATAGAATAGTTATGTTTTGGTTAGCAGTCTATTTTTAAAGATAATGTAGACTCCATAAGGTAATATCTAAATCAGGCATGATTACTATGTATGTGTTTATGAATATGCATGTATATATTACTTTTTGACAAGCTCAAATTTTAGGATCATACACTGAAATCTGGAAATAATTCTTTTCAAGTTACTCTTTATGGCTGTCTTAAAGTATTTTAAGACAATTTCTTTAGATTTATACAATTTCTTTAGATGTGTGTCACAGATTAAACCAGTAAAATTTAGTTTAGGAAATTAGTATGTTGTTCTATAATGTATGCCCCGATATTGCAATTGTCATGTTTTATTTTTGTTTTCTGTTTAAGGCAATCCTTTATCACAGGATATTATGAGCTTATACCAGGACCCAGATGGAACCCGAAAGCTACTGAACTTCATGCTTGACAATCTTGCAGGTAACTCTTAATGACAAAACATTGAATTCTATAGATGCTTTCAGTAGCTGATGTACCACACGTTACTTAGCTACTTACAGGTTTGGAATTTCTAGCTTATGCAGTAATTAATGAAATAGGCAGAATTATGAAATTTATGAGATTCTCTTTTTTCCATTGTATGAGTACATTCTGTTTATGAAGCAGTGTGATGAGAGTTTTAGTTATACTATCATGTAGGCATTTTTACATTTTTCTATAACTATGGCTACTACTACTATGACTACTACTGCTTACTGTTACTATTGCTTCTTACTGTGTAGCCCTGGAGTGGTCTGGACATTATAACGTAGACCTGGCTGGCTTTAAACTCACAAGATATTCATTTGTCTCTGACTCTGAGTGTTGAAATTAAAGATACAAGATCATTCATTCATGCTACCATATAGAGGTGTTAGAGGAGGCCAGAAGAGGGTGTCAGGTTCTCTGGAGCTGGAGTTATAGGTGGTTGTAAACTGTCTTAAGTGCTAGGAACCAAACTCAGATCTTTTGAAAGAGTAGCAAGTGCTCTTAAGTATAGAACCACCTATCCATCCTCAGGATCTTTATATTTTATAGTATAAACTTTGAGATAAAAATGGCTAGTAATTCCAGAGCTATGAACTCAAGGTTGTCTTAATCATTAAGATAAATGGTTACCTGAATTTGGTACAGATTTTATGTAAAAGTTTACCCATACAACAATTCTGGTTTATTCTTGTTTGTTTTTACTTTTAGTGTAGTGTTCAGTAAATTAAATGAGATAAACAGTACTTTATTATAAATTGGCTTTCTGTTAGATAATTTTTTCCAACTATAAGTTAACAAATATTCTGTCCATGTTTAGATAAGGTACGCTAAGGTATAATGCAGGTTAAATGTTTTAAATACTCTCCTGATTTAGTTTAGGGGTTTAATTAGAACAGAATCCTATTATAAATCAAGGTTTGAGTATAGTTCAACTCATTATACATTTGTGGAAAATTTGCAAGCAGTCTTTAAGCATACCAGAATTATAGGACACTACAATGGTTGTAGCCCATATATAAATTTGTTTTACATAGGAAGGCTATTCTGTATATAGCTTTCTCAAAATTTTTGATATAACTTTTTATTGGCTTACTTAAGCATTCAAAATGTGGGTATAAGTGTGTAGATTAATTCTAACTTACATTTTTTTTGAGTAACGTCTTTCTAAATATATACATATTTTGGTTGTGTGTGTTGTTTTTGTATATGTGGAGTCCATGAACCTGAATGTATGGATATGAATGCTTGTGTGTGCACACATGCTGAGTTGTCTTAATTATTCTCCCCCTTATTGATTACCTGGAGACAGAGTCATTCATTGAACAAGAATTAGCTTTCATCAGCTATTCTGACTGGCCAGAAGTTTCTTGGGATATGCCTGTTTTTGCCCCCTAACACTAGTGTGTACAGATATAACTTTTTTTTTTTTTTATGTGGTACTGGGGATTTGAGTTTAGACGCTCATACTTGCAGAACGTGTAGTTTTTACCCACTGAGCCATCTTCCTCACCTACACATCTGGCTCTTTAAAAAATTAAAAATTCCAGACACCCTTTTCTTTTTGCTGGCATTTTTGTGTTGGCTAGCAGCTACTTCTTGGCATAGGGCCTGCTCAGGGAAGTGGTTGATATACTCAGTGACACTCTATTGGGAAAAATGGCTGTTCCATTTCCAGCTAGAATTACTTGCAAAAAGACGTTGTGCAGAGTGAGAGACGCTGGAGCACTCAGTCCTGAAAGGGGTGTCTTTATCAAATCCCTCCCTTTGAGGCTCTTGGATAAAAGGAGTGGAAAGGTTTTACGAACCAGAAATGGTAGGTGACTCCAATGGAGGAAAATGTACCAATATCTATCGATGACGGTATGATGATGGTAGTATAAGAAGTCTTGAGATCAAGGACATTAAAACTTCTCCCTTGATCTGATTATATTTGACTGTGTGGGTGGTTTGTTTTTGTTTCTTAATCAATTTCAAAAACCCTTTTCACAATGCTGTGATAGATACTGGAGAAGTGACTTAGCCATTAAAAGCACTGGTTGATTTTTCCAGAGGACTCAGGTTTAATTTCCATACCTCCATGGGAGCCTACAACATTCTTTTTAGCTTGGTTGTATTGTGGTTAGAAAACATACTCTTTTATTAAAAAATTTAAAATCTTATAAGCCAGCACATTCTTAGTTTTTGTAGGTGTTAAGCATGCACTTCAAAAGAATATGCCTGTGCAGTTGCTTGATGGCAGTGTTATACATACCAGTTTATGTTTGTTGATGATACTGGACTAGTGTGATTAATATATATTTGATAATTACTTTGATTTTACTAATTGTTAGACTGTTTAGAATTGCAAATTTACTTGTTTCTAATTACCTACCTCAGTGGTTTAATTATGTTGTGCTAAGGATACTTTTTGTGTATTTCATTCATTCTTAATCTTTTGTATCTTATTTAGTGTTTCTTCTGTTTGGTTTATATTTATTTTGTTCCTTTTTGTAGTTAGAGGTAGTAACTTAAATTATTAAGGGAAATCTAGTCTATTTTTAACATAAATATGTGTGTTATGCTTTCATTTACATTCCGTTCAGTGTGTTTGATTTCCTTTGTGACTTCTTTGATCAGTGATGTATTTAGAAGTATATTGCTTAACATACAAATGTAAAGTTTTCCTGTTGATTTCTCATTTGATTCTTTATAGAAACAATTGGAAAATATAGTTTGAATTTTCTCCAGTTTTTTTTTTAAAGTTTATATCTTTATGATCCAAAAATTTGTTGTCATAGTTTGTGTTTCATGGGCTTTTGAAAACTTTCTATAGTTGGATGATAGTGCAAAAATATAAATGAGATTGTGTTGGTGGTGGTAATCAATTCCTCTTTTTTTTTTCCTTCTAATTTCCCATCTGGCAATCCTATCAGATGGTGATATGAAGGAGCTAAAAATCCTCAGCTGTAATTATACATGTTTTTTTTCCTCTATTCTACTGTCAGCTTTTGCTTCTAGTGTTTTTCTTTTTCAAGATTATTTTATATGAGAATTTGCTTGCATGTATAGATGTGTATCATGAGCATTCCTGATGCCTGAGGAGGCTACAGGAGGGCATCTGGTACCCTGAAGCTAGAGTTACAGAACATGTGAGTCACTGTTGAGTACTAAATGCCGCTGAGCTTTCTCTGCAGCCCCTGCTTCTGGTATTTTAAGCCATTGATTGGTACATGCATGTTTAGGATTGTTATTGCTCTATTTTATTTTTTAATTCTGAAAACTACTTTATCACATATTATCATAGTCATTCTTGGTTGCTGAAAAGTTATTTTTAAATTTTCTATATTGTTGTATTTGAAGGTATGTAGAATAGTTGAGTATATTTTTTTATTCACCTTATTAAGATTTTATTTTGGATTTTAATTTAACTAAAGGCTAAGTATCTTTATTGGTACCTTTTTATAATGTTTTCTTTGACCACCGTCAAATACCATTTAAGAACTGATAGTAATAATGTTAATGCTCATAGTTTTATCCATTCTTTTTTTTTGATATTTTAGTTTTTCTTCTCTTATATATATTTTTTTTCTGTTTGGAGAGCTTCCTTTAGCACTGGCCATTCTTTAAAGGTAGATGTGTTAGTGATCAGTCTTTTAGTTTTTCACTGCATTCTGACTTTTATTTCCTCTTGAACCTCCTCTCTACTACTGTCAGCACACCGGAGATTGGAGTATCAATGAATGCTCCCATGACCAACTCCTTGATTTCTAAAAGGATAGTTCTTTTGATGTAGCCGTTAAAAAAAAAAAAGCGTGTAGTGTTTCCTTAGGCTTCCAATGTAATTTAAATTGGTGGTTTTTTATAGGTAATCTGTTAGGTCTTTGTTTCTGAAGTTATTTTTCTAGTTCTCAGAAGTTTAGTTAGATTTTCATCAAATTTATTGTACTTAAATTTATTTACCTTCTTTGATTCCTTATTCAATGGAAATTTTTATCCATTATCGCTTAGAAAACTTTTCAGCCTTATATTCTTTCTTCTAGACTATAAATGATAAGAATTTAGATATTTTTATAATTCCATCAAGTATTTTCACAATTTATTTTATTTTTCAGTTTTTTGAGACAGGGTTTCTTTGTGTAGCCCTTGCAGTCCTAGAACTTGTTCTGTAGACCAGGCTGGACTTAAACTCGTAAAGATCTGCCTGCCTTTGCCTCCCGACTACTGAGATTATAGGAATGTGTCACCACTACCCAGTATATTTTCATATTTTCAAAAGATTTTTTCTGTTTTATTATTATTTATTATTTTTAATGTATATCATTCATTCTAAAAGTTAATGACTTTTCTTTAAATCATTTTAGTGGTCTCAGTTCTGGTTGAACAAGGTGGGCTTGAAATCTCACTGCTTTATGGCATAGGATGCTTCTCAGGGAATGAATGGCCTTGCTACAGATGTAGTACAACATCATAGATAATTGCTTCATCTTGGGAGCAGGAGTATTCTGGAAGGCTGTATTTTTTCCTGGAATCCAAGGTGATGATAAGTTTAGGATAAATGTCTGGAGACCTTTGGGAACTCTGGAATAGAACATTACAGAAAGTTGCCAGTGAGTACTTCAGTTTTGTTTCCTCAACTCTTGAGTGAAATTGACATTATAAAACAGTGAAGAAGTCAGGAGTTAGTGGTGCACACTTTTAGTTCCAGCACTTACAGGAGGCAGAGGAAGGCAGATAGGTGAGTTTAAGGTCAGCCTGGTCTACTTTTAAGTCTGAGTTCCAGGACAACCAGAGCTAAAAAAACCAAAAACAAAAAAAACCAAAAACAAAAAAATAAAAACAGTGAAAGAGCAGGTAATAAAAGCCTCATTAGAAAAAAAATTTTTTTTTAAACATTCATTTTCTTTTTCTGTTTTAAGATACTTGACTTACCAGGATGTTAAATTTTCATATAGCTTTAGTTTTGCAGAAGGGAACAAAGATAAATCACAATAACTTACCTATGTAATTAAAAGATTTTGCTTAAGGTTTTAAGTTTAAGGCACTTTTTATAAAATCATACATGTAGAAATATCATTAATGAGTTTCTTAATGTTCTTTTCTAATACTAATTTTATGTTCTCTGCATAGCTCTTTTTAGAAATTTAATTAAATGAATTTACTGATTGTGTCTGTAAGAGATCAGGACAGCTTTCAGAAGACTCCTTTGACTTTGTTTCCTGTTGCTGTCACTGCTCTATGCTAACTGGCCTGGAGCTTCTGGCTGATCCTCTGGGCTCCTCCTCTCATCTTAGAAGAGTGCTGGGGCTGTGCAGAAAAAACAGGCTTTTTACATAGGTTCCAAAGATGAGGATTGAATTCATTCAAGCTGGGACAACAGAAATTTTTAACCACTGATTCCTGCGTATCTTTTTTTTTTTTTTAAACTTTAGGTTTGAAGTCTATGTAAAATTCTAGGATTGGATTTTTAAGCCCACTTGTGGGCTTAAATAATAAATAGATTGACTTGGTATTAGAGACTAAATAATACTGGTTTTACATACATACAGGATTATTTTGTTTTTAACTTTTTTCTTTCAGTTCATCCAGAGCAGCTTCCTCCGAGGCCATGGATTACATTAAAAGAACGAGACCAAATTCTGCCATCAGGTAGCTTTATTCATCTTTGACTTTTAAAATAAAGTCTTATTTGAGTTTGTGATTATAGGCTTTCATTTTATCTACCATAGGTATAGATGTGCCCAAAAGTATTGATAAGATAGACTTAAACAACATCAAGATAGTCCTATTATATTATATAAGTAAACACCTCTTGTCTTTCATGTTGGTGTACTGGTCTAGAAAATTATTCCTTGTGGTGCAGCTATTTAGAGCTCTTAGATAATTCTTAAATCATCTAATGAACAATAATAAACTTGCTTATGAAAGGTTTTGACTTTCTTAAGTACTTTATCTTCCTTGAGAGGAAGGAAGACTGCCAAGATGCTTAATATGTAAGATTGTGTGTCAGAAATGTCAGCAGAATTGATTATAGAAATAGTTCAGAGTATTTCATGACTCTAAGGACATAACTTGGCTTATCTAAAATAGTAATATATGGAATTTAAGCCATGATGTCCTTTTGCAGATGAGTAGCAGTTTTATTCTTTTGTAGGACTTTTAACTGCATGTTAAGACATTTTAGGTTTGGAAATACTACTTAAGATAAGTTGTGAAGGGGCTAGAGATATGGCTCAGTGGTTAAGAGCATTTGTTGCTCTTGAAGAAGACCTGTGTTCAGTTTCTAGGTCCCACATGGCAGCACACAGTCATTTGTAACTCCAATTCCAGGGGATCTGGTTCTTTTTTCTGGCCTCCTCAGAATATAAGGCTGCTTTTGGGATACATACATGCAGGAATTCATGCATACATATAAAATAAAATCTTCTTTAACAAAATTGTGAATTTTTATTTAAGTGCCTGTTAAGTGACATTCATAAATATTTTTATGATACTTAATTTCATTTTAAAATTAAATAAACATTTTAACTTTCATAGATGAGAACAATTACTAAATACTACTTTAACCGTTTTTAAGGGTTAGAAGTTACTATCGACATTTTGAACAATGTAGACCCTTCTATTTCTGAGTTGTTTTCTTTGTTTGTTTGGTCGTTTAGTGTTTTTTTTTATTTTAAATATTTTTATTTTGTTTAAATCAAATCATAATTTTTACTTATTCACACATCGGTTATAAACACAAAAAGGCAGGACGTGGGGAAGGGGATGACACTGGAGCATGGGTGTTCAGGGGGAGTACAGACATCTTTCAGGACATGGTATTGGCTAGGTGAAGGCTCAGGGGACAGGTCACTATGACTCTATGAGTTACTTGTCCTTATCTAAGTTGGTATTGTCTGCCCAGGCTACCTATTTACAAGGTCTATGACTACTCAGGCTGATAAATTTCTACAAAAGCTGCCTGTTACAATAACTTATAGCCCTCTGTTTCATGTTTTTCCACAGAGACCCAAGACTTGGTGTTAGTATACATGTATGACAGGCCTATTGCTGATTTTAGGCCTATGGCTGATTTTAGGCCTTCAGTGTATAAGCAGGGCTGCCCCTGACATCTCCTCCCTTCTCTAAGTATAGAAGGGTTGTGGCAATTCTAATCTTGCAAAGGAGGGGATAGAGGCCTGACCTCCAGTAATTGAAGGGGACCTTGTAATGGCTCTGGTCCCCCTGTCCTTGTCCAGTGAGGCATGAGGGCCATACCTGTCCCGATGTCTTTTTCCTGGAGAGGGGATACTTTTGACATCAACTCCTATGCAGTCAGGCTTGTCCCTCAGGGAACCCAGGGAGATATTTTTAACTATTACTTATATTCCCTTGCAGTGCTTAGCCTCACAGCCTAAGCAAGAATTCAGATCGCCAGTCAGAGGGGGTTCTGGGTGGCCCCTCTCTGCTTGGTCTAGGGGCAGAAGTCCCCCCTTTTAGGTTGGGTGGAGATGGGTTTTGAGAACACCCTGGATAGAGTAGCAACCTCATGTTGAGTCTCGTGGTTCTCCATAGTTAACTTATTATAATGTATCTGAATAGGTTTTGCTACCAAATTATTTATCTGTTGTTTCACAAAGTTAGTCAGTCTATTTAAGGCTCAGGGACCAAAAGAAATAAGCAACAAGAACCCAAATAATGGTCCCAAAATGGGAGGAAGTAGGGTTGACAACCATGGAGAGGTTGAAAGCCAATTCTTGTACCAGCTTTCATCTTTCTCTTTCTCTCTCTGACTTTTCTCAGGGCCTTCTCTGACCTTTTTCATGCTGTCTTTAACCATTCCCTGTCTTGTATATGTAAAGGCAACATTCTTCTTTAAGGGTTGTACACAGTCAAGAGCTGTACACAGTCTTTTCTATTGTAAAAGAGTAAATCAAGTTCAATAAAGTTCTTTGAAATTTTTGGAGGTCTCTTCAGACAGCAAAACGAAGGATTTCTTCAGATTAGTGATGTCAATCTCTAGCTGTTTGATATTCTTGTCAATGGCCCGTCGAAGGTCTGAGTAGTATAGGGTCGGAGGCCAGCATCTGGATTAGAAATTCTAACAGCAGACATCGTGGGTGATTCATTTTTACCTGGAAAAGAAAAAGAAGGAAGTTCTAAGGGAGATTTCTCTTCCCTGGATGTCAATTGTTACTCATCTTATTTATGGTTGGGCCTGGCTTTGTGGGGGCATCTATTTATTTCATTAGTCTTTTTGGTAGCTATTTAGCTGTGCCTTCTGTGGTATCAAACAGGCTTGTCAATCCTCGGCCCGATAAGAGAACTGGGTCCGGGCCATTCCCTTTAAGGGTAAGATGGTCCTTGCACATAGCTGTGGCATAGTTTTTTATTGGTCTCGGTGATGCCAGAAGCAGTCAGCAGCTTATTTGCTGTGAGCTTTCAGGTTTAGAGAGTTAAAAGTGAACAAGGCATGATGGAGAATATTTTGGGGGACTACTTCGGGGGGAGTGTACTGTTCCCCCTCTTTTGTTTTTAAAACCAATTTTTCAGAGTTCTTGTAAAATCAGGGCAGGTGCACCAGCAGCCGCTCTTCCACACTCAGTCATGAAGACACTCTTTTATAGAAATATAAATCTATATTAATAATCTCTTTTATCAACGGACTGTTATAGAACAGCCAACAACTAATCAGACTATATAATATACCCATTAATAATAGCTGCTCTACTTTTTGTGAGATTACTCCTCTTTTGTCAATTAGTTGTTGAGGGAAATTAGGATTTACATCTCTCTTGAGAATATTAAACAGAGTCTTAAATTCTTTTGTGGAGAGCTTAAAATAAGATCTTAGCCAATTAGCATCTCCTAGAAACTTTCAAAATAATTTCAAATAAGTAAACTATCTTTTTTTTATTGGATATTTTACATATTTACTTTTCAGTGTTATCGCCCCTCCATTTTGCCCCCAAACCCCTTATTCCATCTCCCTCCTCCTATTTTTATGAGCGTGTGCTCCGAACATCCTCCCAGTCCCATCTCCCTGCTCTGGAATTCCCCAGCACTAGGGAATCCAAACTTTCGGGGACCATGGCCCTCCACTTCCACTGATGTCTGACAAGGCCACCCTCAATTACCTATACAGGTAGAGACATGAGTCTCTCCGTTTGTGCTCTCAGGCTGGAGGTTTAGACCTTGGGAGCTCTGGTTGAATCTTTTGATACTCCTTCTAAAATGGACAAAAGCACCCACAATTTGATCTCCTTCTTCTTGAGTTGCATGTGTCATATGCGTTGTGTCTTAGGTATTGTGAGCTTTTGGGCTAATATCCACTTATCAGTGAGTGCATACCATGTATGTTCTTTTGAGATTGGGTCACCTCACTCAGGATGATATTTTCCAGCTCTGTCCATTTGCCTAAGAATTTCATGAACTCATTGTTTTTAATAGCTAAGTAGTACTCCATTGTGTAAATGTACCACATTTTTTGCATCCATTCTTCTTTGAAGGACATCTGGATTCTTCCCATCTTCTGACTATTATGCTATGATCAGGCTGCTATGATCATAGTGGAGCATGTGTCCCTGTTGATGTTGAAACATCTTTTGGGTATATGCCCAGGAGTGGTATAGCTGGGTCCTCAGGTTCAATTTTCTGAGGTACCGCCAGACTGCTTTCCATAGTGGTTGTACCAGTTTACAATCCCCCCAACAGTGGAGAAGTGTTCCTCTTTCTCCACATCCTCGCCAACATGTGCTGTCACCTGTGTTTTTGATCTTAGCCATTCTGACTTGTTTGAGGTGGAATCTCAGGATTGTTTTCATTTGCATTTCCCTAATGACTAGGCATGCTGAACACTTCTTTAGGTCCGTTTCAACCGTTCGAGCTTCCTCAGTTTAGAATTCTTTGTTCAGCTCTGTGCCCCATTTTTAAATAGGGTTATTTGATGGTCTAGAGTCCAATTTCTTCAGTTCTTTGTACACCATGGATATTAGCCCTTTATTAGATGTGGGGTTGGTTAAGATCTTTTCCCAATCTTTTGGTTGCCGCTTTGTCCTATTGACAGTGTCCTTTGCTTTACAGAAGCTTTGCAGTTTTATGAGGTCCCATTTGTCAATTCTTGATCTTAGAGCATAAGCCATTGGTGTTCTGTTCAGGAACTTTTCTCCTGTGTCCATGTTTTCAAGGCTTTTCTCCATTTTCTCTTTTATTAGTTTCAGTGTAGCTGGTTTTATATGGAGGTCCTTGATTCACTTGGAATTGTGCTTTGTACAAGGAGATAAGTATGGATCAATTTGCATTTTTCTACATGCTGACTTCCAGTTGGACCAGCACCATTTGTTGAAAATGCTGTCTTTTTTCCTCTGAATAGTTTTAGCTCCTTTGTCAAAGATCAAGTGACCATAGGTATGGGGGTTCATTTCTGGGTCTTCAATTCTATTCCATTGATCCTCCTGCCTGTCTCTGTTCCAATACCATGCAGTTTTTATCACTATTGCTTTGTAGTACAGTTTGAAATCCGGGATGTTGATTCCCCCAGAAGTTCTTTTATTGTTGAGAATAGTTTCGCTATCCTGGGTTTTTTGTTATTTCAAATGAATTTTAAGATTGGTCTTTCTATCTCTGTGAAGAATTGAGTGGGAATTTTGATGAGGATTGCATTGAAACTGTAGATTCTTTTGGTAAGATGGCCATTTTAACTATATTAATCCTTCCAGTCCATGAGCATGGGAGATCTTTCCATCTTCTGAGATCTTTTTCAATTTCTTTCTTCAGGGGTTTGAAGTTCTTGTCATACAGGTCTTTTACTTGCTTGATTAGATTCACAGCAGGGTGTTTTATATTATTTGTGACTATTGTGAAGGGTGTCATTTCCATAGTTTCTTTCTCAGCCAGTTTATCTTTTCAGTAGAGGAAGGCTACTGATTTGTTTGAGTTGATTTTATAACCAGCCACTTTGCTAAAGTTGTTTATCAGGTTTAGGAGTTCTCTGGTGAAAGTTTTGGGGTCACTTAAGTATGCTATCATATCATCTGCAAATAGTGAAATTTTGACTTCTTCCTTTCCAATACGTATCTCTCTAACCTCCTTGTGTTGCCTAATTGCTCTGGCTAGGACTTCCAGTACTATACTGAATAGGTAGGGGGAGAGTGGGCAGCCTTGTCTAGTCTCTGATTTTAGTGAGATTGCTTCAAGTTTCTCTCCATTTAGTTTGATGTTGGCTACTGGTTTGCTGTATATTGCTTTTACTATGTTTAGGTATGGGCCTTGAGTTCCTGACCCTTCCAAGACTTTTATCATGAAGTGGTGTTGAATTTTGTCAAATGCTTTCTCAGCATCTAGTGATATGATCATGTGGTTTTTTTCTTTGAGTTTGTTTATATAGTGGATTACATTGATGAATTTCCGTATGTTTAGCCAGCCGTGCATTCCTGGGATAAAGTCTACTTGATCCTGATGGATAATAGTTTTGATGTGTTCTTGGATTCGGTTTGCTAGAATTTTATTGAGTATTTTTGCATCGATGTTCATAAGGGTGATTGGTCTGAAGTTGTGTCTTTGTTTAGTTTAGATATGAGCGTAATTGTGGCTTCATGTAATGAATTTGGTAGTGTACCTTCTGTTTCTATTTTGTGGAATAGTTTGAAGAGAATTGGTATTAGGTCTTCCTTGAAGGTCTGATAGAATTCTGTCTGGTCCTGGGCTTTTTTTCGGTGGGAAGACTTTTAATGACTGCTTCTATTTCTTTCGCGGTTATGGGACTGTTTAGATGGTTTATCTGCTCCTGATTTAACATTGGTAACTGGTATTTGTCTAGAAAATTGTCCATTGCATCCAGATTTTCCAATTCTGTTGAGTATAGGCTTTTGTAATAGGATCTGATGATTTTTTTTAATTTCCTCGGTTGGATACAGAACTACTACATGGGATCTGCTTTGTGCTTGGACCCAGACAGGAAGTCCTCAGTCGGTTAGTATGTTTTTGTTGTTGTTGTCTTTGTTTTGTTTTTAAAGGCAGGGTTTCTCTATTTATGTCTGGCTGCCCAGGAACTTTCTGTGTAAACCAGGCTGGTCTCACAGAAATCTACCTTCTTCTGTTTCCCGAGTGCTGATATTAAAAGTGTGTGCCACCACACCTGGCCTTACATTTATTTTTATTGTTTTAGAACATTCAGAACAAAATATTTCAGTACTGTGTAGAATGTATAACTTCTTTGTGCTTCTCTTTGTATTTAATGATGCTGAGAAAGAACTCTACATGATACAGTTTTGTGTCTTTCTGGGACTTATGATTTTGAAATCACAATTATAGGAAAACATCAGCCTGTTAAATAGACATTATTTCAAAATTACTACAAATAGCACTTGTTTTAGAATGATACACATTAAATGATCTAAGTAAAGAAAACACTTCAGATTTTTAGAATGTCTTGAATTAGATGGATTGGATTTCTGTAATGTGGTTTGTATGCTTTCTACTCTACCCTCCTCCCCTTTTCTTAAAAAATGGATGTCTCTTTCTTCCTTGGTTATGTTTTCATCTTCTGTTAAGTGAAATTAAGCCAGATGCTGAAATACAATTATTTTGTCTTTTGTATTTGAAATTTAGATTTATGAAAAAATTCACCTAAGACATGGAGATATAAAGGGAGAGAACTATTTGGGAAGAGGTAGGAAGGAAACCTTATAGGTTAGAATTCAACAGGGGTTGGAGATAGTCAGGTGGTTGGTTACGATGAACAAAGTATCTGATGTACGGAATGTCAGAATGAAACTTACTATTGTTTTGTACAATGGACATATAATAATTAAAGTTAAAAACTGTTGTAAAAGTGAGTCTTATACACTAAAGATGAGCATATTTTTTGAGCTCTTTAATCCCTTGTTGAATACAAATGAGCATAATTTGAAAGGCTTCTATTACACAGCCACATATCTTTTAAGAAAAGGAATAGTACAAATAGCTAAATATTAAGTAGTCAATGATTCTTAAAATCTTGTATTTTTAGGGTTAACCGTGATAAAGCACCTAGTAAGGATTTTTCTTAGTTTGGTACTAAGTGAATAGATTCTGAGTATCAACATTGAAAAATGCCCTTTTTTTTTGCTGTGTGAGATGTGTGTAATAACTGAGGTAGTGAAGAGTGATGTATACTGAAATTATTGTAATCATTAACTATGTAATAATCAGGCCCAGTTAGAGAAAAATCTTCCGGATAGAATGAAAATTGGAAATTACATATGCAGCTTAATTAATTTTTACTTTAAAACTTATAAAAATTGCATTAATACAGAATTTAGTCTTTGTTAGAGAGATTTTTCACTCCTAGACTTTTCTAGAAAAATCTTACATCAAAAAGTCTGTGATGTGAACAAAGTCAATAACCATAACAATCTACTTAACTTCTTTTCCTTGTCAGAGTGGTACTCCAAATCTGGAGAGGCAGAACATGTTAAACTCAGGGCACTAACTGTCACAGTATTGTGGCTTGTGAATAGTTCAGGGTCGTTTCCAAAGTAAATACAAATGATACAAATTACTCTAACTGAAACATGGCCTTCAGTGTACAAAATGGCCATGAATCTGACACTTTTCTGCCTTTTCTATTATTGAAAGTGAACCCAACTTCAATAAAGTTACTTCATCTTGAATTGCTTAGAAATTTATGAAATTGATGGTTTCTAACCATGCAAGTTTATTAATACCTAAGCAGTATCTTCTTGAAAATATGTATGCTAAAAGCCTAATGCTGTGACTTAGCATAGAAATATCCTTTGTATCAGGGTTTCTTTGTTGTTTGACATTTTTTGTTGTTATTTTTGAAAACCATCTATACAGTGACTAAAATGGGTACCTAAGATGGAGAATTGTTGAGGAAAATTAGGCCTTTTATTGTTTAACATAATGGTTAATTTGAGTCAATTCAAAATTTTGTTAAACTTCAGTTTCACAGATACTTAGGGTCCAGAAATGGTGGGTTATCCAAGCAGAGAGGTGATTCTTAATAGTGTTGACTCTTAGAGCTTATTTTAGATTAGTGAGGGAATCTAGATTATTAGTTTGCTACAGTTGTTTTTGTTGTTGTTTTTTAATAAGTCAGAATCTTACAGAATAATAATTTTATTTCAGAAATGAATATTAGATTGCCAAAAAAGATTCTCTTATGGCTATATTTTGTTCACCCTTTTCTTAGATTATTAGGAATAATAATAGGACCCCAAAATGTTAACTATCAATATTTTGATAAAAAGTAAAGAAATTAGAATTCTTTAACCTAAATGAAATGAGAATTTGCATTTGTTTTAATTAAGCCAAGCCCTTTCTCCATAAATCACATGCAAATAGTTAATACTCTGATTTTCAAAAATTGAATTTATTACATTTTCTTAAATTTTCAATATAGATAGTTAAATCTAGACTGTTAAACATTGGTGCATTGTACTTAAATGTAATCATATGGTAGCACTGTAATAAGTGAAATTGTCTTTAACTTGAATAACTTGAAATGTGAATTAAAAGGTCATAGAAGATACTACATTTTTGAGAAGTCTTGTTAAAGTAAGTTACGTTATGATAATTTGCTTCTCCTGGCATTTTGCTCTAATCATATATGAACTGTTTTTGTGTGCTTATGCATGTATATTCTTGATACTACGTAACAAAAAGTTGGCTCATTTCCTCCTTTTGTCTGTTTTTTCTCCCTCTTCTTAGCATCATTCACGGTTATGTGTTACAATGTATTATGTGATAAATATGCTACCCGGCAGCTATATGGCTATTGTCCGTCCTGGGCATTAAACTGGGAATACAGGAAAAAGGGAATTATGGAAGAAATTGTAAACTGGGATGCAGATATCATTAGTCTTCAGGTAACACTATAGAAATTAAATTGTGTTTAAATTAGAGATGAACTAAAAATAGTAGAAAATCCTACCTCTGGGAAAAAGCCCGTGTTCAAAGCAAAACTGAAAAAGAGTAGTTTTTCTCCTTTAAAAGAGCAATAATTTTACTAAAAATTAAAGAGATTTCTGTAGTGTAATCATAATGCTGACTGAGCACACGTGTGCACTTATTTTCATTTACTGTGTTCTGAAATTAACCTTGCCTCCTATCTATGTTAACAATCCCCCCTGTGAGCAATTTATTGGAATTATTGAAGAGAAAATTGCAAAAAGAGTATAAGTCTTTCAGGAATATAAATTTTACTTAGAGTGGAGTTCAGAAGAAAAAAAGTATTTTCTTAAAGGTGTTTCTCAAAGTTAAACATTTAAAAAATGCACAATTCATAATATTTATCTTACTTGATGAACTATTTCTAAAATTTAGACCTATGTGAATTTGTTCCTCCTTTTAAGAGAGATTTATATTGCTAAATCTTTTATATCTGTTTGACTTCTCAAAATAATTTTAAAATTTCTTTTCAGTTCATTTAAATACTTGTTAAGAGCTCATATCTCTCAGGTGGTAGACCAGTCACAGAAAGGCACAGTTGTAGAAGTTACATAGCCTTGAACTGGAGAGGAGGACTCTATAGCCGTCTATTTAAAACACTGTATATTTGAGTTTTACTGAAGAAAAAATATGTACTCTTTGGAAATTGAAAAATTTCAGTATTTAGCAATAATTAGCCAAAATTTTTAAGTAGGTTTTTTGTTAGTAATTTTATTAATTTCAAAGCATATTAAATGATTTTAGTTGAAAAATTTTAAATAGACAGTTATGTATATTTAATTAGATTCAGAATGGTATTTTAATATATCTGTACAGTGAGGTATGACTTGTTCATATATCTATCACCTCAAATAGTTTCTATTTCTTTTTTTTTTTTTTTTTTTTTTTTAATATTTATTTATTTATTTTATTGATGAGTACATTGTAGCTGTCTTCAGACACACCAGAAGAGGGCATCCAATCTCATTACGGATGGTTGTGAGCCACCATGTGGTTGCTGGGATTTGAACTCAGGACCTCTGGAAGAGCAGTCTGTGTTCTTAACCGCTGAGCCATCTCTCCAGCCCCTAGTTTCTATTTCTTAAGGAGGATGCTTTAAAATTATTGTAATATTTTACACATTTTCAGTATATCCTGGGAAGAAAACTGATGACTTCCTTTTTTTGTTTTTTTTTTTGGCTACATAGTATGCTCCAATCCAGCCGTGGCTACATACATAGTGAGACTCCATGTCAAAAAAGAAAAAGACACATGGAAACTATTTTTTAAAAAATGAAATAGCTTGATAGTTGTTTGTTTTGTATTTTACATTTTCTGAGACATAATAAGTACAATGAGAACTGGGGAGAAGGAAGCAAATGAAGTTAGGCTGTGTTTCACTTCAGTATTTAGAGCAGCAGCATGCTCAAGCCTTTGTAAGTGAAATGTAGTTTGAAAGATACATCCAAATTTAGAAAGCTTTTCTTTTGTAAAAGCCATAATGTATTTTAGAGTACTCTAGAAAAGGGGAACAATTAGAAAGTGTAGAAAGGAAACCATGAACTCCTATACATGAAAGACTTGAAATAGTTTTTGTACACTTTTTTTGTTCTTTTCATTTAGTTAACTTAAAAGTTTTTTTAATGAAAAGAGATTCTAATATTGGCATATTTTCTTTATCTACTTACTACACTTTTTATGTTACTCAAACTCTTAGAGTCAGCAGATGAATACAATTAAATTAGTACATTTTTTAAATTGTAGAACAATTAGTCACCTGGGACTTTTTTTTTTTTTTTAATCATGCTGTTGAGAGCACCTTAATGTGTAAATATCATCATCACTTCTACATTTTTTGGAAAGGTTTATTTAAAATATTCTATGAATCAAAGAATAAAATCTCAAACTTAATTATTAAATTAAGAGACCATTTTATGACTTCTGAAATTTTAGATTTTTTTTTTGTTATTGTTGAAAGAATGTCTTTCGCACTCTTTAGGTATCGTTTCTTTGTACCACATTTCAAAAGAATAATTTAATAAGTTTTCTTTTTACACAAAAGGTTCATAATTTCCTGTCACCTAACCTGTCCTACATGATTTCTTTAGTTACTAACATGGAAGAAGTGAGATATATTGGAGTGAACCCTAATTTGGGATTCAAGAAAGCTGAGATGTAATCCTACTCCTGTTACTAACCAGTGTGGTGAACATGAGAATGTCATGCTACCTTCTTGTGCCTTCATGTTTAAAATACTGCACAAGTCAAACACAAGTGCTTGTGATAAGATTGCTAGATAATATGTGACATAAGTGTTTTGTCATAATCAATCCTTAATCATTACAGAATATTTTTATGTCTTAATTATTTTCACTCTGTCATGTAGATAACAGTTTTTCCTTCATCTTAGGAAGTGGAAACAGAGCAATACTTTACTCTCTTTCTGCCAGCATTGAAGGATCGTGGATATGATGGATTTTTTTCTCCAAAGTCACGTGCCAAAATCATGTCTGAGCAGGAAAGAAAGCATGTGGATGGTTGTGCAGTATTCTTCAAAACAGAAAAGTGAGTCAAGAAATAAAGCACAGCAATGTACACTTAATTACTTTTAACTTACTTTTTTTTTGGAATTTTTTTTTATTGGTTATTTATTTACATTTCAAATGTTATTCCCCTTCCCAGTTTCCCTTCTGCAAACCCCCTCCCCCATCCTCCCTGCTTTTATGTGAGTGCTTCCCCACAAACCCACCCATCTACTCCTTCCTCACCTCCTTAGCATTCCCCCACTCTGGGGCATCAGTCCTCCACAGGACCAAGGGCCTCCCCTCCAGTTGATAAGGCAATCCTCTGCTACATATGCAGCTCAAGCCATGTGTACTGTTTGGTTGGTGGTTTAGTCCCTGGGAGCTCTAGTGTGTCTGCTTGGTTGATAATGTTCTTCCTGTGGGGTTGCAAACCCCTTCAGCTCCTTCAGGCCTTCGCTTTACTCCTTCATTGGGTCCCCAGGTTCAGTCCCATGGGTTGGCTGCAAGCATCCACATCTGTATTGGTCAGGTTCTGACAAGAGTCTCTTAGTGGGGAGAGCTATACCAGGCTCCTGTCAGCAAGCGCTTCTTGGCATCAGCAATAGTGTCTGGCTTTGTTGTCTGCAGATGCCTAGGTGGGGCAGTCTCTGGTGGATGACCTTTCCTTCAGTCTTTGCGTTTCCCTTAGACAGGAGGAATTCTGGGTTAATATTTTTGAGATGGGTAGGTGGCCACATACCTCCACTGGGGGCCATGACTAACCTCTGGATATGTTCTTTACAGGTTCTCGCTCCCCTTTGTTGGGTATTTCAGCTAATGTCCTCCCCTTTGGGTCCCGGGAGCCTCTTGCTTTCCTGGCATCTGAGATTTTCATTGAAAATAGTCTTTAATTTGACTCTAAAAGGGTAAAGCTAGAAATTGCAATACTGATTTTCTTAGGCAGTATACAAGAAATGAGGGTATTTATCGTATTATTCTTTATATTGTTATTGGCAGATTACTCTGAAAATTTGAGATGAATTTGAAGATAACAGTTTTTAATGTTTTTCCATAAAATAAAACATCAGTTATATGTAAAGTGTAATAAGTAGAGGGCAGAAACAAAGCCTAGGGCTTAGGGAAGCAGGGCGTGAAAAGATTCGCACCACTTAGTGAAAAACAACATGCACAGAACTGATTCCCTTCCTCTATCCCCATCTCCTTTTTTCTTTTGACCCCACTCTTTCTCTCCTGATCTGTCTCTTTATGAGGCCTTGAGCTCACTGTTCAAGTGTTGAGGTTGTAGGTGTGTCCCACAGCAATCTGGTCCGCTTTCTCCTAGTACTTTCTGGATAATGTGTATGTCTTTTTGTTTGCTCATTCTTCTTAGAGTTTTGAAAGGAGAAATGTAAATTCCTTGATAATTTACTAGAGGTGGTTAATATTTGGAAGAACATTTATAACTGCAATATAGAAAACTTTAACCATTGTATAGTTGCAGATTCATTCTTGGATTATTAAGATACTGTGAACTTTTTTTTTTTTAAAGTTCATAGGAAATAGTTTGTTGCATTCTCTTTCTTCCCCTCCTTAGCTGTTTGTTTCCTAAATAGTAGAGTGTCAGGAATTCCATAGCAGTGAACAATTTTAAGTGTGACACATTTCATGAAACCATTTGCTAACAATCCAAGGGACCCCACTTTTGAAGACGTTTTTTCCTGATCTTTTAATCCCTTAGTTGACTGTAGTTCTTCATCTGGGGGTGAGGTTTCAAGGGTCCCACTTTTACTATCTTCTTTCTTCATGGAAGAGGTAATAGTACAAAGATTAGGAAATTATAGCTTTAGTATTTAATTAGCTGTATAATCTTAAGTTGTTTATACTTTCAGATAAGTTTCTTTATTTGCTTATTCTTGTAAGAAACAACATTATGTTGTTTATAAAATTAACAAAGTAAAAATGATAGCTGTAGAAGAGTATTTTGACTTCATGTTCACTTTTAAAGTCTTTCAAATCAGAATAGACAGTAATCCATATGGTGAAAGAATGGAATGAAT